ACTGCGAAATTTTGAATGATGACTTGTTAGGAACTATCGAGCATTACGAGTTGGATAAGAATAATATCGTTTTCCAATAGGATAACAATCCGAAGCACACGGCTAATTTAACGGAGCAATGGTTTACGATAATGATATTGAGGTATTAGAATGGTCACCACAATCTCCAACCTCAACCCTATAGAACATCTCTGGAACGAGATGGATATACATTTGAGAAGGTTAGAAAATCCAGTTCGAACTCAAGGAAGCTATTCAAAAAATATGGATCGAAACAAATCATAACTTTTTAACTAGTCTAATTGAAAGTATGCCCGAACGAATAAATGATGTAATTGAGGCTATAGGAGGGTATACAGAGTGGTAAAGAATAGTTTATTTAGATTTCGTAAATTTTTAGTCGTTAGTTATTTAAATATTGGTTTTAAATTATTTGCATCGTAAACGGTCAAAAAAAAACGCATCCTGTAAAATGCATCGATTATTATTATTTCAATTTAGTGATTATTAACTAAATAAAGAATTATATTTACATGTTTTGCAAAATTTGGTAAACAATATGCGAGTTTCAGATGTTTGTATGTAATGTTATTGAATTTGCAATTTTATTCTTAGTGTGATGCAAAACATTTGACGGCCACTGTACGTATCGGCATTGTAGTATTTGATGTTGGTTTATCAAGTTTGCGTGCATACATTATTTATGATTTTACGGGACAGGATTTTAAAATCAATTGGAAGTGTGCATTTCAAATAATTTTCTTTAATAAAGGAAAAGAAAATAAAAAAAAAGAAAATATGCGGTATAGTAAAAATAAAAAAGGAGGATTCTCGTAAAAATTCTTTTTCCTTACTTACCTCTACGTCAAGGTATCAGCCAAAAAGTGATAAAAAAAATTTCGATAAACCCACTACTCCTACTCCCACCACTATTACAACAGCAAATGCAAACCGAGAAGATAATAAAAAACCGAAAGTTTGCTATTGCCACTTTCTTAATCGTGTCATTATTCATGTGTGTATATGTGTTTGTGTGCTCTTTAATGTAATCTTTCATCTTCAGCGTAATTAAGGTGAATGTGGATGTGTGTGTTTAGGTCTCGGGAATTTATCGTGCAGCACTAGTGAGTGACGAAGCCCTTTCCTTTATACCCTTCTGAAGAGATACCTGTAATTGGATTGCTATTCTGTTCTCGCATCAGCTTATTAGTTGCTTCCTGCCATTCTTTATCAAAGGTACGCGGAGTAGGAACTTTACAAACACAAAAATTAATATTAGATCATAATCAAACCAAAAAAAACAATATTTCATACTGATGAAAAAAGTACATACTTCCGTGACGAGACCATTTAAAGAGTAAAACAGATACAATCACAGAAATGGTAACACCTGCAAGCACCTTTATCCCTTGATTCGGTTCATCTCGAGGTTCTCTTGGACCATGCGGACCAAATGCGACATAATATGCTTTAAAATTTTCGAATTTACAATTTGTTTGACGAAAGATTAAACATCAAATAATCGATGACCCCATTAACAAAGCCTTGATTATGCAAAATTCATTGACCAATACGTAGTCGTAAAAAAAGCAATACCAGCTCTTTTTTGGTCTAACGACAACTCATGCCAATCCTTTTTCTGAAGGTCCACGAGTTGTTTTGTGAGAGTTGATTGTTCCTCGGACGACAATGTTTTCCAGCGCGTTTCAAGATTCGTCAGTGACGGGACAGAACTTGTGGTGGAAGCGCTTCTGCGCGTATGGCTCCTAGCAACTGTTTGACAAAGACGAAGTGAGGAAGAACGAAGCATTATCAAGATTATTTGTTTGTATGCGTGTAGAGTTAAGGTGAATAATTAGATCCTGAAAATTTTTGCCGATAAAGATTATTACATGTGATAAAATACTTGATTTAGGATCCACGCCTCGACAATGGGAATTATTACACGTTTAGTGAATATCATGACGACGCACTTTTATTGAGGAAAATATTTTGTTTGCATTTGTCCATTTGCTGTATACGCTTTATTCGTCTCGTCAGGAAATAATAATACAATTATAAAATGACACGGTCAAACCTCGAGATAACGAAAAATTTCAGTTTATCGAGATTTACTATAACCGTTTCTGGAACCAACTTCGGTGCTTCGTTAGATCGAAGTTTGACATGCTTCAAATATCTTACCTGAGGGGTGAGGGGTGAGGGGAGGGTAGGCTCTATAGTAAATTATATTACGTAATTTATGTCACGGCCCTAACGCAACGGAGGTTGGATTAAAAGAATGTCTATAATCAAGACATTACGAAACAGTAGCTTGAAGGTCTATTGTCTCATTTTCAATGTACGATCATTGTCAATTGGAGAGTTAATTGAAAATGAAAAGTGTGTGTATATACTCGGGATGTTTCAATGATTCTTCGTCGTTTTGGATGTAACGGAAATAGGATCTAGTGCGAAATCGATCCTCGCATGATTTAGATTGGTCAAAATGCTAAATTACCAGTAATTCGGTCTTAAAGATTTGAGAATTGGATTACACCTTCAATTCCTATTCTGGAACATTCACTACTAATTGATAATTAGTTTAGACAATAGATATTTTCGCCATTATACACAGATCATAGCTTTGGATGGTAAGAGGAGAGATAGTTTTGAGAGAAGAGAAATAGGTCTTTTCAAAGCCAACTGACGAGTTCATGGAGGAAATACTGAACCTTAAATGATAATAGTAAAACACGAAATCAAATATAGGTCAGTGAAGACGATACACGATTATTACAAGCAGGCCATAATAAATCGTACTTTAGAGAAAATTCCGAAGGCACCATATATAGATTATAGATTAAACTATCATTCCTGGCAATAATATTCTATGTTGAACAATGATCGTCATTATCATACAATATAATATCCTGATCTAAAATTCTAATTTATTATAAATAATCAAATCAGATGATGATACAGTTGTTGTGATTGTTGAAGTTACAATGTCACTAGTTTTTGTAGAAACTGACAATAATGTAACAGTAGTGGTAGTAAATGGTGAAGTAGCTGTAAAAGTTTTTATAGATGGCTTTACTAAAGATTTTGTAGATGTTGACGTTCTACTGTTATCATTACTACCATTACTATTACCGTTATTGTTATTGTTAATATTATCATTGTTATTGTTATTATTGTTATTATTATTTGGCGTAGTTGAAGAAGAATCAAAAAATAATTTACGGATTAATAAAACTTGCAATATGACTATAAAAAACAATAAGATATTAATGAGACTCCAATCAGAAGGCAATACGTGATAGTGATGTTGGTGAATATGTTGATGATGATGAGTGTGTAAATGGGTATGTCTTTGTTGGGGATGTTGAATAGAAGATGATGATGAAGAGGAGGAGGAGGAGGAGGAGGAGGAAGAGAGGGAGGAGGAAGAGAGGGAGGAGGAAGAGAGGGAGGAGGAATGGGAAGAAGAATGTTGAGAATAAGAATTGCTATTTGTATCACTACTTGAATAATCTGTTGGTGTATGAGAGGAATCATCTTGGTCCTCGTTACTTTCGTAATCATGTCCATCAGTGTCATAGTTGTTATAATCCTCTTCGTTATCATTAACTCAATCCCCTCGAGGTTGAAATTTTGCATAATAATCTTTGGTCTTTGCTTCATATAAATCTTGAACACATTCTGGAAGTTCATCGACAAACACTCCTTTATTTTGATTATAGATTTCAAGTAAATGTGAAAAATCATCGTCTATTACTCTAAAATATTGCTTTTTTTCCTTCTTACCAGGAGATCCCTCGTAAATTGAGAAAGAGGGAACAACAGTGTTTGGTGGTATCACCGTGTTATCCTCTATACGACAACAATCCTTGATTATTGCAAATCGGCCCTTTTTTTGTTATTTTATTATTAGTTTTAGCTTTATGATTCATAAATAACACGATCAATAAGAGATAAATTCTTACAATAACGCAATTCTTTCCGATATGCACAAATGATCCGATCGTTGCCGCCTCTACAATACTACCCTCTCCGATAGTAACATGGTCACCAATCTTCATCGGGTAGTAGCTAAAAGCCCTGTTATCATTATGGATCATAGCACAAATTTAAAATGATAAATTTCATTCATCCCTATTTCCTCCTCGTGATTTTATTTACCCTTTATATGTTTTATAAGGTGGTCGTATGATACTTCCTCTTGCCAGCAAACAGTATCTACCAATTGCGACGACGACTGCATGTCCACCTCCCGTACGACGCAAGTCTCCTCGGATTACACAGTCTGTTTGAATGATTGTCTTTTTTTGGTTATTCGATAATTATGGATCAATAAGTAGAATCAAGAGATGAACGAGACCGGTTGAATAATGATCAATGAAAATTTACCTTTCCTCCTAGAATAATATTTTGACTCCCACAAATGACAGATTTACGACTAACTTTGTTTCCGGTATCCTTTAATTAATTAAGTTTGTATTTACATCATTGGTTTGGTTTTACGCGGCAAGATAACCATGGATAAAAATTCAAGAGCAGGAGTGGAACGAGAATAGTCAAAATTATTACGCGCGTTTATAATAAATATGGCCAGTAGCAACGTTAATTGTATCATAAATAGTAAAACAGAAAAATAAAAGATGAATTACCGTTTCAATGTACTCTGTTTTATAATAAGGAATAGTCGGTGGCTCCATTACTTTAAATTAGCAGACCAAATAATAATAATAACGATAATGATTGTTCAAAAAGGAGAACAAACGAATCACACTAAGGAAAATCGTTAAACATCCTATTTATAGTTAAAAATAATAAAAATAAAGTTTGATCTGCATCAGTAAATCCCGCCAAAAGTCGTGTGTGGATGTGTTGCATATTTATACAAGAAATTAAAGAGATGATACTTAAACGTATATTCGCATGTTCTTTTTCGTATTCGATACAATCTCGGCATTTATTTTTAGCGCGTGATTACTTGAAATTCGGTAATTATTTAAGGGTTATTTTTATTTACGAATAAATAAATGCAAGCATATAAACGTATAATGTTTAACGACAGCATCTTGTTATCAAAGTATACGTAAACGACCATTCCACTCGACACCCATACAACGAGCAAACATAAAATCCAAACCAGATTGCCAAAAACAAGAAGGATCAAAGTCCGATCCAATATCTGGAGTCGAGACATCATCGCTTCTACATTCCGAGCAAGAATATCAGGCTGCTACCGATGATTTAGTCGACCAAAACGATGAAAAGCTGTTGGCTGATACAATGCCGAAAGTGGCAAAAGGGTTGAATAACCAACAGCAGCAACCAATACTACTACAATCGTCTCTATCTGAAGATACTGACGGTGAATTTAAAGATGAAAAAGAGAAACCTTCGGATTTCGAGAAATATGTTTTGTTGGATAATAAGAAAATTAAAGTTAAAGTTATTATTCGTCAGGTGATGAAAGACTTTGGTAAGTTTGAAGGAGATACGGGGAGTCCTGAAGTTCAAGGTGGATAAAATGAATTTATTCGACTTAAACCGAAATATTATATGTGATTCTCAATAAAAAATTGTATTAATTTCTTTAATTAACAAAAGTCGCTGTCTTGACAGTTCGTATTCTCAAGCTTCACCAACACATCAAAAAAGTCCGAAAAGACAATCTCAGATACCGACGACTATTAAAGATGGTACAAAAAAGACAGAACGTGCTCAAATATTTGAAGGAGGAAGATTCGGATCGTTATCTTACTTGTTTGAAAAGGTTGGGATTAGATCAGAAAATTATTGAAGGGCAAATTGTTATGTAAGTTTTTTTTTGAGAGATTCTATTCAGGTGATTAGTTATTTGAAATGGGAGCAGTGTATTAACTAAGATGTTTAAGAGAATGATAATGTATGAATTAGCAGATTAGAAGATGTTATTTGCTATATAAATCATAAAATCAAAAACCAGCTTCAATAGAAAAAAACAAATAAATTACTAAAAAATTAAACGAAAAATTCATATAACAATTAATAATATTCTGAATAAGCTTTTTCTTGTTAAAATTTTTTATTATTTAATAAGTAATATAATATAATTTTTTATTAAATAATATATAAATATATATTTATTTATCACATCTTGTATTATAAAGCACTAATAAAAATATTAGAATCAGTCAGATTAGTTCAATATATTTTTTACACTTTTTAACAAATTTTTTAATTATAAATATTGTTATCATTCTAGGTTATCATAAAGTTATATTTATAATGTTATAATGGGTTATTTATTATGATAATATGTATTAATAATAATGGATGAGAGAGTATAAATGGTGTAGTTAAATATAATACTTCAAGCATTATATCATAACAAGTTTAGAATGATAGTAACTATATATTTATAATGTGATCTGCTATAATGAGAACTTGGATTTATGTTGAGAGTATTTATTAAGAAATGTTATATAATAAATATGTAGTTTTATTATAAGATCATAATATAATAATAAATATATATAATTTTATTAATGAATGAATTTATTATTGATTTATTACATGTTTTTAATTGTTATTGATTATTTTTGAGATCTTAAGAACTATTAAATTTATCTTTTTTTTTATTATTAGCTAAGATATATATAATTATTTGAAATAATTACTTAGAATAATAATTAATTGAAATGATCATTTATAATGATCATTTTGTAAAATATCAAATTATAACAATAAAATTAATCAATAAAATATAATAAAATATTATCCAATTAAATTTATAATATGAATTAACCAATAAAAATAAGAACTAAATATTCATATTATAATAATACATCTTCAAAAAATAATTTATTATTTAAAATTTGTTTTAAAAAAACTTTGAGATTTAAACTTTTATTTATTTAATTTAAGCTTTTTATTTAATTAATATAAATTTTATAAATATAAAAATATGAATTTGATTTTTAAATAATATTAATTAGTCAATTTTATCAAGATTTTTTTTATAATTTTTGCTTTAAAAAAAATTATAAACTAGAAAATTCAATATATATATATATATATATATATATATATATATATATATATAGTTTTTAATATATATTAAAAAATTGAATATTAAAACTTCAAATATAAAAAATATATATAAAATTATACAAACAAAATTTTTTGGTTTTTATAATTTTATTAGATTATTAAAATCAATTTATAAATTTAAATTTTAAGATATAATCTAATATTAAATTATAAAAAAATTAAATAAATATAAAAAATAATTATTTTTTTAGTTTAGTAATTTTAAAATAATTTAATTATTTTAAACTATAAAAATTATTAATTTTATTAAAAATAATTTTATATAAACAAATTTTTACAAAAATTTTTTATAATTAAATATAAACTTAAATATAACTTTATCAGAAAAAAATCTAAAAAATTATATATTAAAATATAATTTATAATTTTTGTTTTAATATAAAAATTAAAAATATTTATTAATAAAATTAACTTTTATATAAGACAAAATTTTAATTTTTATTATATTTTATTAATAAATTATATGTATAATTTTATAATTTGTTAGTCATTATATTTGTTTATTTTTTTATATTTATATTTTATATTTATATTTTTTTATTTATTTATTTCAATAAATATATCTTAATTAAATATAAATTTTGTTTATTTTTCTCTTTTTTATATTTAATAAATTAGAATTTTATTTTTTAGTTAGTATAATTATATTTTATTATTTTTAAAATATTATAAAAAATATATAAATATAAACTTTGACTCAATATATTAAAATTTAATAAATAATATGATAAAATAAATATTTTTTAATATTTAAATATTTCATTTTCTTTTTTCAACTATATATTTTGAAGTTTATATACAAGTAACTTTGAACTAATTAAAATATTATTATTAATATTATTAAATTAATATTTTGTTATTAACTAATCTTTTAATATTTTTATTATATTTGAATTATTTGAAATCTCTCATTTAAAAATATTATAATCTTTTTTGTAAGAAGAATAAAGTGAAAGAGTCTTTATTATTTTTGTTATTATTTATTTAGTTTTGGAATATATATATAATATTGATATAAAAAATTAGTATATAAGTTAATATATAAATTGAAATATTATTTATTTTATCTTTTTTTTTATAATTAATTTTTTCTCTTTAAACTATATAATTTTAGTAAAATTAATATAGAACTTAAATATTTTTTTATTTCTTTTTTTCTTTATTTAATTTTTTCTTTTAATTTTTATTTATATTAATTAACTAATTTTACAATTAGTAAAAAATTTATAATATATATTTAAAAAAGTTTATTATATTATATTTATAAATTAAATTTTATATTTACTTTTTAGTAAAAATATATATAGATTTTATATAATATTAATATTTATTTAATAGTTTTAAATATTATATATTATACTATAAATAACTCTTATTATAGTAAAGATATTTATACTATTAGTAAAAAATCTTTAATATCTACTATATTAAGAGTTTATTAGTAAATTTATTATAATAAGAGAATTTATTATAAACTGATTTTGAATAAACTTTATTATATTAAGAGTTTAATTAGTTTTTACTATAATAAGAATTTACTATAATAAGAATTACTTGTAATAATAATAATATTATTATTTTAATTAATTTTAATATTAAAAAATTATAATAATTCAAAATATTAATAATATTTTATAACTTATAAATTAAATATATATTAAATTATTAAAGATATTAAATTAAAATTACAAAATTACAAAACTAAAAATATAATATATATATTATACAAAATATAATTCTTTATTCAATAATAACTTTTATAAGATTTTATTATAAATATATATTAGAACTTCTTATATTATTATTTAAAATTATATAATTCTTATAACAAATATATTAAGATAATTATACAAATAACAAAAATCTAAATTTGTCAAAGAGATATAAAGAAAAGTTTTGTTTATTTTATAATATATGTAAATTTAGTTTTTTTGAATAAATAAAATAAGAAATAAGATAATAATTAAAAGTTATTACTTTTGAATACTTATTCTAATTTAATTCTAATAATTATAATATAGTCAAATCTTTCTATAGTCACATTCATTTATAATTACACTATTTTATAGTCATTTTATTTTGCTTTTCTATTTATATATAAATATAATAAAAACATTTTGCTATATTTATATTCTCTCTATAGTCATTAAATTTTGCTTTTTCAAGAATAGTGACTATAGAAGAGTTTAACTATATATATTTCTTTTATATATATTCAAATTATAATATAACTAATATATAAATTTATATTTACTAATTCTTTTCTATTATATTTACTTATAATATATAATAGCTAAAGTTATCAAAAATTTGTATTTTATAAATATATAAACTTCTTTATTAAGAAATAAATACAAAATTTGATCTATAAACATGATATAATAAGCTTTTTTTAAGCATAGTTACAAATTAAATTTTATATTTACTTCTTAATAAAGATATTTATATGTTTTATAAAATATAAATATTTGATAACTTTAAATATTATATACTATATTTATTTATTTAGTTATTTATTTATTTAGTTATTTATTTGTTTATTTATTTTATATAATTAAATTTTTTTAATAAAATATTGTTGTATAATGACCTTTCATCATAATATTTTATTGGATTATAAATATCTCATATCTTATTGGATAAAGATTA